CCCCAAAACCCCAAAACCCCAAAACCCCATCAAGGCTGATCTTAGTGATTTATGGATTAAATAAATTATAGTATTAAATTCAGTAATGATACAAAGCATGACAAATCAAAATAAAATTGAAACTTACGAACAGTTAAGATAACTGAGATTGAAACTTGACCTTGAATGCAGGGTAAAAACAGGAAAGAAAATTATTAGCGAAGCTGTAGATTAATTTGCAGAATAAAATTAGGATGATAAAGTCCTCGTTATAAAAGCATTACTGTAGAAGCATAAACACTTAATGAATTTAGGGTTAATATTTGAGTCTATAGGAATCCTTCAAGATATTTAAAAGATCATTTCTGAGAACAATTTATGCTTAGATAAACATCTTGAAGCTAAATTTGGCTATCTAGTATTAAGAGGATATAAAAGATCACTAGATTTTCCAGCATGTATGAAACATGGTGAGTTATATCTGCTGAAATTCAAGGATCATGAGAAAGAAACTTGGAAATACTTATATAAAGTAAATACTATCATAGCAAAGACTTACTAGATGATAAACTCATTAAATCATTGCATGAAATACATGAATGAAGCGATTGCTATTGTACAGCGAAACATAACTGATAAAAATGATTTGTAACTTGGAATAATTTATAGAATTACAGGATATCAGTATTGGAAGTTTTTGAAGAGAACTAAATGTAAGGAATATCTTGAAAAAGCTTAGATAATTTTTGAAAGTCATAAAAATCACTACTAAATAGCTACTATTTATAAGGAAAAAGGAGATATGTCTAAAGAAGTGTTCGAAACTGATGTTGCTTAGCAGCACTATGAATAGTTTTTAAGATATACACGAATGAATTATAAGGAGAGTCATTTTAGAGTTGCAAAAGTTTATGTCAGATTAGCCGACAATTTAATGAGAGACAGAGGTAATCCATAGTAACTTAAAAAAGCAGAGATATATCTTTAGAAATATCTAGAAATTGTAAAAGAGATTGAGGAAATTCAAACAGATGAGGAAATGGAAGTAACTGGATCCCTCTATATCGCACTTTACTATCAGTTTTTAGGAAAGTACTATGCAAGATTACTGGATAAGGAAAACAGTTTATTAAGTTATAAGAAATCGCATGAAATGTATATTAGGGGAAATAATGGAGTGGAAAGTTTAATCTGCTAATCTTTTTACCAGTTCATAATCGATGATTTGGCTGAGCTGAATGATCTTGAACTTAGCATAGATTACAACAAAAAATACAAATGATTACTGAAGAGATTCTATTCTCCTGACAATATATTCTACGTCGCTTATACTATTGATATTGTTTCATAAGAAATGTAGACTAAACCTATAAAAGCTTTTAATACAATAAGAAAAGCATAAAGAATTATAGAGCCAGTTTTAGGAAAAGACTCACTTATAGGCTTGATATTTCTACTATTTGAAGGATTAAAGGAAATGATGGATCATAACAGCCTACAGAAAGGATTTAAAACCATTAAATATGTTGAAGAAAAAATGCTATAATAGTTCGAAGGTGAAGACAAAAATCCTTACTTTGAAGCAGTTTACATGGCTTAATATCATTACTATAATGCGATGATTAGTATGGAAGGAAAGGCTAAAGAGAGTGCTTATCTTTAACATGTAATAATTATATTGAAGAAATGCTTAGCAGTGCAATTAATCTCTTATGGAAAGTATCACTCTTCAGTCTTTCAAACACTATAAGCCCTTGGAGAGTCCTAATTCAAGCTTAAATAGAAAGAGGAGGGACTTGAAACTCTTTATTTATGCAGGGAAATTATGTTGCGTTTAAACAAAAAGGATGAATTATACGAATTAATTCTTGAGATAAAGATTGCAGCTCTAAATCCAAATCTCAAATTAGATGATGCAATAAAAAATCTAGAAGAAGTGAAATTGAAAATTGATCAGCTTAAAGTTCCTTATTCAGAAAAGATTGGTCTGAAAATCTAGGTTAATAACACAATCAAAGACCTTGCCTATACAAGTAACAGGAAAGAGATTTCTCTTAAGTACCTTGAATATTAGCTTCAACTTAGCGGTACTGGAGATATAAGATATGTCTAAATGAAAAGTAATGTCTTATTAGACTTATCATCAATTAGTTTTGATTTAGGTAAGTACGAAGATGCTTTAAGATATGCTAAAGATCTTTAATAACTAATGAAAAAATCTATAACGCTTAATCAAGTTGATTGTGAAGAATTCTACAACACAGCAGAAATTATCATTATTGAGACTGAGAATATTTTGAAATTGAGACAAATGAGTTATCTTCAATAATTTAGGTATAATAAGCCTGTTCTATTCTACACTGTTGTTGGAGCATCAATTGGAATATTATCATTTGCAGCCATCAAATTAATCAAAAACTTGAAAAATAATTGATGATCAGACTTAAGCCAATCTTCTTAATTTTAATTTCATAAATTCATATTTATTTCATCAGGACGGGGTTTTGGGGTTTTGGGGTTTTGGGG